ATTATATATATATATATATATATATATATAATGAATAGTGTGTGTGTGTGATTACAAAGCTGCAATTATTTAATCAAAAATACAGCGAAACACTAATTTTGTGAAATATTATTGCAATTTAAAATTACTGTTTTCTATTTGAATATATTTTTATATAAATATAATTTATTCCTGTGATGCCAAAAGCTGAATTCTCAGCAGCCATTACTCCAGTCTTCAATATGCTGATAAGAAATATTCAAAACTAAATTTGTTACATCAGTTTAATAATGATTAAAATCATTATTTTTAGGACGTTTTACAGTGGAGGAGCCTGGCATAGACCGCAGAGTTCACATGCTGCACTTCTGGACAAATACTGGAGTAAACTGCAGATTGGCAACATGAGCCGAGAGGAACTTAAACAGGTAAGCTGTTCCCCTAACACTGAAATAGATTTTGTGTAGGTCCTGATAACATCTTCATTTCTCATTTTGTTTCTCTGTTCAGGTCCTAATGAAGAGGTACCCTAACCTGGCAGTGGTGGTGGAGCGTCTTTTGGACATCTACTGCCAGCTAACAGGAAACAGACATAAAATCAGCTCTAGTCCACAGGGTCCAAGTGCAGCCCAAAACATATCAGATGAACACATCACATCACTGGAGGGCAGAGGCCTCTCACTGAGGTAACACTTTTAATTAGAATTAGAAGAAAGTATTCAAAATCATCATTGCATAATTATAAAAAAAGCATAATGATACTATATACTGATACAAATAATATGTACTACAGGGTTCCAAACCATTTCGTGCTAATTTGTACCTTCTCTAAATAGTTAAACATCAAGTCAGATTTGTATTTGTGCAGTTTCTTTTAAATGCTTGTGAGCATTTACAAATATCTCTGCATCGAGAAATGACACCATACACTTATCAATAAATGATGAGTGTTATTTAGGACCTCACAATGTAACAAACAGTTCAACTAAAGCAGTGACTCTTACAATAAAACCCTTACTCCAGAGTTGTGATGTATCAGTCTGTGTTCATCCATTGTGTAGTTGGGCCTCAGGCTGTTCATCAGCTTTCCACTGGACTCTGCTGTAGTCAATGACACATCGATCTCTCTGTTCCCACTGTGGAACCCTAGCCAGAAACACAGTATGAGATTTGGGCCAGGGCCAATCATTTATATAACTAGCTGTGTACAATAGATACCACACACTGACGCAGAGTGTCATACCTGTCTTGTAGAGGGTTTTTATTTTTTTCTGTAGGCCTACATATTCAAAGCAACAGTATTTTTTTGTAATCTGTTTTGTTTTCAATTTTTTTTGATACTCGATACTTAGGGTAGCAATGAATATGCCTCCATTTTGAAGCTCTGAAAGTGTGTCAGATATGAGGGTTGTCCTGTCAGAAGTTCAGTGGTGTGGAGACCCTGCTGTTACTAATCAATACACTTCCACTTCCTCGCTCAATCCCCTACATTGTAGAGACCCTGGATGCCGTCTGCCTACGGTCATGCCTCCTTACAGTGTTTTGGCGAATGTGATTTCAAGTGGAAGTAAAAACAAAAACAAAACAATGACTCACCATGGCTACATTTATTCGAAGTAAAACAATAATATTGTAGAATATTATTACTGCACACCATGGTACATTTTTTTTCAAATTTTTTTGATGAATAAAATTTAAAAAAAAGAACAGCATTTATTTGAAATAGAAATCTATTGTACGAATGTAGAGGTCACCTTTGATCAATTAATGCAGATAGGGCTAATGCACCCTTGCTAAATGAAAGTATTCTTTTCTTTAAAAAAAAATCTTGCCACATACTTTTTAATATATATGAATAAATGTATGTGTGTGTATATATATTTTTTAATAATATTTATGGTTATAAATCAGATATATAAATATGAGTATTAAATATACTTTCTTGCGTTCTTTGCATCCATGTTGTCATGGTAAATGCTTGGTAGCAGTTTTTTTTTTCTTTTTTAACAGGGACTTGCTGAAATGGTGTGAGAGAATCTGCTTAAATTTTGACAGCTCTTGTGCTTCCACAGCACAGAATGTGTTTCTAGGGGTGAGTGGCTACCAGCATTAATCTGTCACTTTCATTTTTTGGTTTCACCATTAATAAAATATGTATTTTTAAAATGTTTAGGAAACAAGAAACTGAGAAACCTGTGTTGTTATAAGATAAATGTTTTTTTTACCTTCAGGCTCTGGACTGCTTCACTGCCATGCTCTCCCAATCCGAGAGCAGACTCAAGATGGCAGAGATCATTGGCAGCAAACTCAACATATCCAGAGAGAAGGTAGGACTCTGCACCAACGTGTTATCTCTTCACTGACACAAACTATTACATGGCCATGGAAAACCGCTGTTTTACAATTCCCTGTGAATTTTTACATTTTATTATATATTTATATTTGTGATTTCCAGGCCTGGAAAACTTATGGAAATTAGTCAAATCTTGGAAAGGTCAAGGAAATTTGTGTAGTCAATGTACTTATTCAGGGCAGCACAATACTAGAAAAATTCCATCGCTTAGATATTGTTTGTTGTGAGAGCTTGTGTACAGTAAAACTACAATCAAAAATGACTTGGAAAAGTCATGGAAATTCATTGGTCAAGTGTGCAATATTACAGTAATGGCTGAAAAGCACCCTCTTATATTTCTCCATAATTTATAGAGACAAAGTCTGCTCTAATACTGTCAATGTGACATTTCAGGCCCAGCACTTTTGCCAGATGTACCTGCCTGCAATCAGTGTGACAGAGCTGGAGGTGACGGTGGGCCGTACCATGTTACTCCGCAAGCAGAGTGACGCAGTGCGGCTGAGCATGTGAGATTGCATTATCAGAGTGTAACCTTACCATCTCCATTCATCTGTCTCGCTCTCTCTGACTGGCTTTTCCCCTTTCAATCTACTATGTTACAAATTGTGTAACTGCCAGTCTGGCTGTGCCAACACTGACCCCTGTGTGAAAGGCACCCTGCTGAGAAATTGAGTCAGTTTGGGATTGAGTGGTAACTGCTGTTTAAGACAGGGAATACAACAGCCTTGAAAATAACAGAGGAAAATATAGCAGGATACCTTTATTAGTCGTGATGCATAAAGTGAGCACTGTAAGAGAGCTTACATGTATATTCATGCATTTAGCAGATGCTTTTATACATAGTGACAAAATAGGAGAAAAGGCGTTTCGTCAGAGAGGCAACAGTATTTAGAATATACAATGGCAGGTTTATTAGACATCTAGATTAGGAAGCAAGAGGAAAAATCCAGAGGAAAAAAAAAAAAAAGAAGTAGTTTGGATGAAGTTTGGCAGCACTTTCAGCAGGAGAGGGTGAAGGTTTTGGAGAGTGATTTTGTGCCTCGTTGTGGAGGAACAACAAGGCATTGTTTGTTCAGTGACCTTAGCTGGCAGAAGGGAGTGAACACTTATCGTTCCAGAGGAATCTCAGTGTTGTAGAATTGGTTACAATTTCTTTTAAAATGCAGTCAGTCATAGCCAGTGTTGGTATTGTTAGCTAAAGCTAAAACTATTAAAAATGTTTGGTAACACTTTAGTATAGGGACCAGTTCTCACTCTTAACTAGTTGCTTATTAGTATGTTTATTATTAACATTTTGGCTGTTTATTAGTACTTATAAAGCACATTCTGCATTACCATATTCTACATCCATAATCCTACCCAATAGCTAAACATAACAACTACTTTACTAACTATTAATAAGCAGCAAATTAGGAGTTTATTGAAGCAAAAGTTAATGGTTTGTTTACGTGTGTTCAAATGTTTTTGTTAATTGAATTAAAACTCAAATATGGAGGACCGGGAGTGCCACTTAAAAATAAAATGAAGAATCAATTTATTGATTTAATAATTAAAAATAAAAATGTATATAAATAAATCACTTTTTAAATGGACAAATTAATAGACATATTTAAAGATGTTTATTTAATTCATGTTTTTTAATGTAGTTTAATAAAACAATACATTTAAAAATTTATTTTTAATGTATTAATAAATAGACAAATTTAAAACTGTTTATTTAATGAATGTTTTAAAACATGGATTAATAAATCAATAAAAAGTACATTAATAAATATTTTTAAATGCAAAATTTAAAATCGCTTTTTAAAAATGCATTTGGCAAACACTTTTCTCTCTATTTTCCAATTACTTTTCTTTGTCTTTTTGCCAAATGCTTTTCTTTATATATCTGTCAATAGAGTTAAAAAATGCCATTGGACAATACACACGTGGGAGCAACCAATCAATTTTCGCCTCAATTTGAAGAGCCAACCCAATTTGGTCCTCCATGCTCAAATACATCAATTAAATCAAATAAAAATGCAAGCTTAAAACTTGAATGAAAATGAGAAATGTTGCCTTAGCAACTAACTGAAATAAGTTAAAATAAGTTTAAAAAATAAGTTTAAGTACTAAAATTACAAAAACAAAAATGAATAAAAAAGCACTTAACAAAACTTAATCTAAAATTAAAATGAAAATTATAAAAAATATAAAAATAAAACTGATTCTAAATATGAATAAATACTACAATAGTATATAAACAATATTGAAGCCTCTATAATTGATGTGTATTGGCCCCACAGAGGCAGACAAATATTTGCCGCCACACGGCCATCCTCTGTACTTTTGGAGCAACTCTCAGTGTGTGTCACTAAAGGGGAACCTGTCCTGTTGGTCGGGGAGACGGGCACAGGAAAGACCTCTACTGTGCAGTACCTGGCAGAAATGACAGGTAACACATCTGAACTAAACTAAGCCAGTAGGTTTAACACTGTGCATCATTGTTAACTTCCTGCCCTGTTCTACTGCACACAGGACACAAACTCAGAGTGGTCAACATGAACCAACAGAGTGACACTGCTGACCTATTAGGAGGGTGAGTAGACAAGTGACAAGAAATATGGACAGTACAAATGTGGTGGAAGCTCTCTGCGAACTTGTTTTGCTTTGATGATTAAAGGTATAAACCAGTGGACCAAAAGCTTATCCTGTTGCCCTTCCGGGAAGTATTTGAGGACCTCTTTTCCCAGACATACTCACGGAAACAGAACCTGACCTTCCTGGGCCACGTCCAAACCTGCTTCAGAGGCAAACGCTGGCATGACCTTCTGAAGCTCATGGACCATGTCTGCAAATCAGCACTAACCAAGGAACTACATGATAAACCCAATGGTAATTCTAAAGGTTCAAATCAATTACATCAGTCATAATTTCTGATGTTTCCAACTTCTTTGTGTAAAAAGAGGTTTTGAGATTGTACTACATGTTTTTCATATTTTTCTTTTTGTTTTTCTCATAGCTGCCTTGCTGCAGGAGCAGTGGGAGGCTTTGGCTCTCAAACTCAGTCAGACACAGGAACAGATTCGGGCCTGTGAATCCGCTTTGGTCTTTGCGTTTGTGGAGGTAATTGTCGCTCCTCTCACCTGTTGTCTAAATCTCATCTTTCTCTTGTTATCTCCTGAATGTCGTGGCTGTCTGTGTATCCACACAGGGGACTTTAGCCCAGGCTGTGAAGAAGGGCGAATGGATCCTGCTGGATGAGATTAATCTGGCTGCTGCAGAGATGCTGGAGTGTCTGAGTGGATTGCTGGAGGGCAGCGCTGGGTCACTGGTGCTGCTGGATCGAGGCGATACTGGTGAGTCCCAAACAAAGTGGCTTTCTGACAGTGGTATAGTGGGTAAATATATGCCCTAGTAGTACTTTGCTTTTCCCCAGGCTGCTTCTTTAGGCTGACTGCAGTAATGGTGTTCCTGAAACACTTTGGATAAAATGCATTAGAGAGATGAAACAGCTAGTTGTAAGTCACTGATTGGGAAACAGTCTAGTTTATTGGCTCAAAAACCGGTTGTTAGTCTACTGTTCAAAAGTTTGGGGTCAATATGATTTTTTTTTTAATGTTTTTTAAAGACATTTGAAATATTATTATAACTGTTTTCTATTTTTTCTAATTTCTGTGATGGTAAAGCTGAATTTTCAGCAGCTATTACTTCATTGTCACATGATTCTTCAGAAATCATTCTTATATGACGATTTGGTGCTCAAGAAACATTTATTAATGGTCGTTGCTTAAGATTTTTGTAGAAACCATGATAATTTTTTTCAGGATACTTTGATGAATTGAAAGTTCAAAAGAACAGCATTTATAATTACTGTAACATTGTTGAAGGGTAGTGTTCATTAGAAATTTTCAAGTGTGCTTGATGCTAAATTACTGTCCTTTACCAAAAGTGTTGTAGTTGATTAGTGGTTTATAAATGTTTAATTTAATTCAGAGGTAATTTACTGTTTTCATGATGTCGTTCTGTGTAGAGCCTCTGGTTCGTCACCCAGACTTCCACCTGTTTGCCTGCATGAACCCAGCCACTGATGTAGGCAAGAGGAACCTGCCACTGGGCATTAGAAACAGGTGAGAGGGGCTTGTACTCCTAATAAATATCTAGCATATTTGTTTGAAGATATCATACACTGAAATGTACACATTCTTAAGCATTCAAATCTTTTCTGGGAACACTGTATGTGTTAATATGAAGTTAATGTAATTGTGTTTATGTATCAGATTTACAGAGTTGTATGTGGAGGAGCTGGAGAGTGAGAGTGATTTACGAATCCTCGTCTCTGACTACCTCAAAGGCCTTAACATGACCAGAGGCATCATCCATGGAATCATCAGGTTTGTGCACAGTTCTTTAGTAGGTCTCCATTGCCATCCATATAACAGCAAACTGACTTTCCTCATTAAAACACAGCTTTTTGCATTTTGATATATAGAAGATCATTGGTAGCCAATAGCACAACCATTATAAAACAAATCAGCATTTCTTGATAATATTAAGGAAGTTTCAAATGTTAGGTGTGACATGGCTTGTTTTTACTAAACAAATACGTTTTTTATCCGAAGCATTGTAAAATACACAACATACAGAATTCATCCCTCATGTTCATCTCTTTGGTTAGGTGCTATACTAAAAGACAATTGTGATGTTCCTATATAAGGTTTCTTAAAACATGCGTACTCTGTGCCGAGCTCTGAAGTATGTGGCCTCTGACCCCTGCTACAACATCCAACGCTCCCTCTATGAGGTAATGTATTTGTCCTCCTCATCATTTCTGCCTCAATTGTTAATATCTTGAGAGTCTGACACATAGCGAGTTGTGTATGTTGCAGTAAGTGTCTGTTACATGTTGCCATATTGAAATAAGGTTTTCTGTTCATGTAAAGACACATGAACTTGACTTTCCCTGGGTATGGATGATTCACCCTGTGCCAACAGCAGAAGTGAGCAGCTTAATAAAACAAACTAGCTGTGTTGTTTTGCGGCATCATTATGAATAATGCTGTCTTTACTGCAGAGTGTGACGTTGCTGCACTTGTAATCTAGACAGCTTGATTGATTATAATGAAAGCAATTTAGTTTTGTTACATCACAGCACGCCTCTCTCATACAGTGTAGATTGGATTTCAAAGTCCCACCAGCACTGCGTTTCCCACAGAGTAGTTTGCATTATACAATGATGACTACTCCACCAGTCAATCTGTACACAGTACACTGTATTTTTGAGATTGTTTATTTACTAATATCAGTATCTGTCCACTCCATGTTTCCAGCTTTTGCTGGTCATAAATTTGCTATCGTAGTGGGAGCATAAATCAACACAATAAAATAATTAAAAACAGGTTAGGAGTTATTACATTAGATGGTGGGTTTCTTCAATCATTAACATTGTCAATAAATTTAAATTCACATTTTTTTGAAAGCAAGGTAAAAACAATTTTTTTACATTCATTTTGTTAATTTTGGGCAACCAGGTTGTTTAAAGGACTTTGTTATGCAGTTTATTTCATCATCATCATTAGTTGCTGTTCACCATTGTCCTGCTTCATTTATTATCGTTAATGCAACAAGTTTTAAGCCAATCATATGACAAAGTGCTCTGTATTTGTTTTTGTTGGCCATAAACAGTAGTCATTTAAATAGAGAAGTGTGCTGTGTGTGCATTGTGTAAAGAAAATAAAAACACCAAGTAAAGTATATTTACGTAGAGGTTTAATATCTTCTGCAGGGTTTCTGTCTGAGTTTTCTCACTCAGCTGGATCGCAGCTCTCACCCTGTTGTGCAGAAACTGGTGTGTCAGCACATACTAGGAGGAAATGTGAAGTGTCTAAAACAGGTAATCATTTCGGAGCTACTTCTATCCACGCTAATATTTGTTTAAAGGGATAGACTATAGATGTTCTTAGTGTGAAAATGGTCCTGTGCTCTCTCTTCAGCCAATCCCACAGCCAAAGGACCGCATATGCATGCAGATAGAGGAGTACTGGCTGAGTCGTGGTGACATGGAGCCTACTGTAGACCCCAGTTACATCCTCACACCCTCCGTCAAGCTCAACCTGAAAGACCTGGCACGGGTAGTGTCTGCCGGGTAGGAAAACCCACCCCAGATATGTCCCATGTGACGTTCTGTAGATCAAGTCTCACCGTCGATATATATTACATGTACAGCATCTCTCTGTTCATCTGTGGGAGGGTTCGTAAGGGATTTGATTCACTTTTAGTTCTTTGGGTAGTAATCTTGGTAACGACTGATTTGTTTTTCTGTTTTGGTGCCATTTGTCTGGGACAGTTCAGACCTAGTTATAAATTGATTTCTATATCCATATAGAGCTGACTTTAGGACTTTTTGGGCATCACCCTTTTCACATCAGATTTCATGATCTCCAAATAGACTTTTTCTGTACCTTTCTGGGCCAAATCAGAGAAACCCCACACTTCTATATCTATATTGCTCATAATTCTTTATCCGTGTACAAGTAGTCAACAATATATATATATACTCTATATTCATTACATGCTAGGAATCATTTTCCACCATTTTCTTCTATACATTGTCTTTCCTCTGTGTGTTGTTTTGGTGATTAGCATTCATCCAGTGCTTATTCAGGGGGAAACGTCTGTAGGAAAGACGAGTCTGATAAAATGGCTTTCAGCTGCCACAGGAAACCAGTGTGTGCGGATCAATAACCATGAGCACACGGATATCCAGGAGTACATCGGCTGCTACTCCTCTGATGAGCATGGCAAACTTGTCTTCAAAGAAGGTACATAACCTTTGGAGCACACATTATGATGGAAATGTACAAGAATGTGAATCTGTTATGCTTAAATTGCAAATCCAATGAAAGATTTTTTTTGATGTAAAAATTATGTAAATGCATGCAAATGGTACTAACTGCATGTTATTATAGGCCAGGCTTAAAATGCAACACTCAGGGGGTCCTGAGGGGGTCCACAAAGGGGGCTGAAACAATTAAAGACCCTTGACTTTTGCTAATGATATTAATAAATTCTAAGTATTCACTGCCATGTCAGATGTTAAATGAGATCGTTGTCTGTCTTCATGTAGTTCAAGTTCAAGTTCATTTTATTTGTAGAGCACATATACAACAGCCACCAGGCTGACCAAAGTGCTTTTCAGAAGAGCAACAATTTTACCACATACACAGAGAACAAACCAGACAAAAATTTAAAACCGCACGGTTAAAAATTAACATATCACAGTAGTCAATACACTAAGGAAAACAAATCAGTTTTTAGCAAGGACTTAAAAACAGACAAAGAAGGGGCCATTCTAATCTCTAAAGGTAGGGTATTCCAGAGTCGTGGCCCTGCCACCGCAAATGCACGCTCCCCTCTACGCTTAAGCCTAACGTGAGGGACCACCAACAAGGCCTGGTCACAGGATCGTAGGCTTCTAGACGGAGTATAGAAGTAAAGAAGGTCAGATAGATAGACAGGAGCTTGGTTATGTAGAGATTTATATACAAAGAGGTGAATTCTGAAGTCTATTCTCTTGACAAACCGACAACCAGTGTAGAGGTCTAAGAATTGGAATGATGTGTTCATGTTTACGTCATTTTAAAAGAAGTCTTGGCGCAGCATTTTGGACAAGCTGAAGAAGCGCAATTTGAGATTTAGATATACCGCAATATAAAGAATTGCAGTAGTCTAGATGAGACGAGACGTAACGAACGCATGAACAGCCATTTCTAGAGTTTTAGGAGTGAGAAAGTTTTTAATTAAAACCAGATTGAAAAACCTCATAAATACAATTACTAGTCAGAAATCGTTGAAGTTGATTCGGCACAATTTTCTCCAAAACTTTTGAAATGAAAGGTAAAACAGAAATAGACCGAAAAATGTTTAGGACAGAAGGATCCAGTGAAGGCTTCTTGAGCAGAGGAGTGACCGTAGCGACTTTTTTCCATTTACGTTCTGCCTTTCTGCAGTTTTGTTTTAGGAGACGGGTATCAGAGTTTTGCCACAGTACAGATTTTGGTTTTTGCTTGTGAGGCTTAAGGGGGATGCAGAGAGAGAGTTCTTTAAAATTGTTACTATCTCACCCCCGCGGTATAGTTCAGTGTTCTATTAACCTTATGTTTATGTCATGTTTTCATGTAAACAACATATGTTTTTTTTCCCCCTGAAGGCGTTCTGATCGATGCCATGCGGAAAGGTTATTGGATCATTCTAGATGAACTGAACCTTGCCCCCACTGATGTCCTCGAGGCCCTGAATAGATTGCTGGATGATAACCGGGAGCTCTTCATCGCCGAGACACAGGAAGTGGTCAAAGCCCACCCCAGATTCATGCTCTTTGCCACCCAGAATCCTCCTGGGCTTTACGGGGGCAGAAAGGTCTCTTCAATACATTTTTAAAAATGACCAGTTTGTCAAGCAGCCTTGTTTTCTTGACCTTTTGTAAACTGAAATCTGCAACAGTAATGCGGTAACTAATTGGGAGGTGCTGATGTACTGGTTCTGATGTTACTGCTCAGGAAGAGCTCAAGAATTTGAATGCACTAAATTATTCTATCTAAATATCATTTCAAGGTCTGACCCATGTGTCTTTCATTTTTGTATAGGTTCTGTCCCGAGCGTTTAGGAACCGTTTTGTAGAGCTGCATTTTGATGAGCTGCCCAGTGTAGAGCTTGAGAACATTCTCCATCAGCGCTGCAGTTTGCCCCCATCCTACTGCTCCAAACTTATCAAAGTCATGCAGAACTTGCAGGTGCGCATCTCGTTTTGTTGCATCAGTTTATAAGAATCTATTTTGAGAAGTTGACGATTAGATGATATGGTGATTATTTTTTATCAGTCCTTACGTAGAGGATCCAGTGTGTTTGCTGGGAAACATGGGTACATTACCCTAAGAGACCTGTTCCGCTGGGCTGAACGCTATAGGCTGGAAGAGCAGAATGACACCTCACGTGATTGGCTACAACATTTGGCCGATGACGGTAAAATCAATGACAAACTTTTGACCCCTTTGGAGTAAAAAAATAAATAAAAATATGTCCACTACAGTTCAAAGGTTTGCTGTCTGTAAGATATTTTAAATGTTTATCTTGTGTCTGTTATGGGCACCAAGGCTGCATTTATTTAGTAGTAAAACAGTAATATTGTGAAATAATAATATTATTACAATTAAAAATAACTTTTTTTTAAATGTAATTTATTATGGCAAAGCTGAATTTTCAGCAGCCATTACTCCAGTCTTCAGTGTCACATGATCCTTCAGAAATCAATTTAATATGCTCATTTAGTACTCAAGAAACAGTTCTTCTTGTTATTGATTGTGGTGCTTGTTTTCTGGAAACCGTGATACTTTTTTTAGGATTCAGTTCAAAACACCAGCATTTATCTGAAGTAGGAATCTTTTGTAACAATGTAAAATACTGTACTGCTACTTTTAGTGCCTTTTATTATTTAATTTAAAATGACTTTAATTAGTGCCTCCTTGCTGAATGAAAGGAATTGAATGAATGAATCAGTGATCAATTTTACTGATCCCAAACTTTTGATGTAATATTTGAAAATTTCCAACTGTAATAATCATCATGTTCACTCTTTCAGGCTACATGCTGTTGGCCGGCCGTGTCAGGAAGCCAGAGGAAGCGCTAACCATCCAGAACATTTTGGAGAAGCACTTTAAAAGGACTGTGAACCCAGATGTTCTTTTCTCTGAAGCTCAGGTCACCTCTCAGTTCAGTGAGTTTTTAAGCACAAACACAGTTTGACCACAGAGGCACACCGAATTCTGACATCAGGTCGATGACTTTCAATTACTAATGTTGTTCTCACTGGTTGTTCCATTGCATTATCACATAAACAAATACCAGTAGTACTGCACAGTTTAATGACAGTCCCTTAATAAGGCATCTTAGCAACCCCCACTACCAGCGTGTTCTTATATAATGCAGTTATTGAGTGTGAGTTTATCGATTGTATCTTGTGATGTTTATTTCCATCTATGCAGATAATTTAAGATGGCAAAATAGTTTCCATGAAATGTTAAATTCTTGATTCTGATGCTTACCTAAAGATCAGTTTGATTAGATCACTTTATAACTAATGGCCAGATTGATTGTTTTGGCTGGCTCAGTTTGGTATATTGATGGTCATTGATGGCTTGGCACTTGGCAGGCCCTTTTGTGGACAGCATTGCGGGTGTCCCTGAAGAGTTCGGTCATGTGGTGTGGACCCAGGGCATGAGGAGACTGGCTGTGCTAGTGGGACGAGCACTTCGTTTTGGAGAGTCTGTTCTACTTGTCGGGGACACGGGGTAAGCTGTGATACAGTTCGAAAATCTGACCAGTTCCCTTTAACACGTCATAAAGTTAACAAAATGTAACTTAGCAGATTTTCCAAATATTGTTGTAAATGTCGGGGACAAATACTGACAAGTATTGACATTGTGGGGGCCTTAGAGTAAACAAAAAAAGTTGAGAATTACTGCTCTAATACCACCTGCCATCTAGCAATAACAAATAGAAACACTTTTTTCAATCGAAAATATGTCAGCACAGGAAACAAAATTTGCCTTTAAAACCTTTAGTAGCTTAATTTATTCATCAGATAAAAGAAGCTCAAATGGATTAAAAGTTCCTGCCCTTTACTGCAGCTGTGGTAAAACCACCATCTGCCAGCTGTTTGCTGCATTAGCTGGTCAGAAGTTCTTCTCTGTGAACTGTCACTTGCATATGGAGACGTCTGACTTTCTGGGTGGCCTCCGACCTGTCCGTCACACAGGAACCCAACAGGTAATATTCATATTTCTTAAGATTATTGAGTTTACAAAACTCTCATTTCCAGTCGTAAAATCAGACTGCCACCAGCTTATAGCTTATTCATCAATGCTGCTTTTTGGCATGAATGTATTATGTTTCAGGCTGATGCGGAGGACGGCCGTCTGTTTGAATGGCGTGATGGACCACTGGTGCTGGCGATGAAACAGGACGGTGTGTTTCTAATGGATGAGATCTCGCTGGCAGATGACTCTGTGCTGGAGAGACTCAACAGGTGTGAATTTAAACTCAGTGTTCTCACATTGACAGCTTATTAACAGTGTTTAATTCAGTTTTGCTTGGAAAATTCAAAAACAGATCTGAAACTACTTGTTTGATTTGCTTCTAGGTAAAATGAATTGAAATTGTGCCCCAAATGTGCAACTTCTACATCACATCAGGACAATGCGAATCACTTAATCTTTGTGCATCATTGATATTGGCACATCTGATGTCTAAAGTGATTATGTGACTGTGTGTTCTGTGCAGCGTGTTGGAGACTGAAAAATCATTGGTGCTGGCAGAGAAAGGCAGCGGAGATGATGATGATGTTGAGCTGATCATTGCTGGGAAGAAGTTCCGGCTTGTCGCTACCATGAACCCTGGAGGTGATTTTGGAAAGAAAGAGGTCAGTACATGGAAAATTAGCATGGCTGAGGAACATTATGTTGAGGTTATTAAATATTCTCTGAAGATTAGTATTAATAGTGAAACAAGTGGATTGTGTTTGCATGAATGAAACAAGCAACCAGTGGCACTGATGTGTTTGCATATGTACAGCTTTCTCCAGCACTCAGGAACAGGTTCACAGAGATTTGGTGCCCCCAGAGCAACAGTCGTAATGATCTAATGCAGATCATCCAACACAATCTGAGGCCTGGACTCTCTCTGGACCAGCATGACCACCAAGGTGAGTCACTCTACACAGAGTAATCAATTATAAAAAGCCTTATTTCACACCCTTTGAAGTACTTGAATCTGATTGGCCGATAGCTGGATTCTACAGTCAATAGCTTGTATAATTACCACTAAACTACATACAGTAGATGTTTGTTCTCCTACACTGATCTAGTCTCATCATTGCTCTTCCCATCTCAGGTAAAGACATAGCAGAGCTCATGCTGGACTTCATCGACTGGCTGACCAATCAGGAGTTTGGCCGACGATGTATTCTAAGCGTGCGAGACATTCTGTCGTGGGTGAACTTCATGAACACGGTATGTGAGCGGGACGAGGATGGCTTCATGACCATGGGGGAGCTGGAGGAGAATGAGCCAGAATGGGACCTGAGATTGGACACCGTAACAGCCTTTATTCATGCTGCATGCCTTGTGTATGTGGACGGAATCGGCTCAGGTGGGAGAAAAGCGAGTGCAAACTGCATTTTTTATGTTTTGGTACCCATCTACCCCCGAAAGGAGTAAGATACACTAGCGTTTCTGGGGTCAGTAAGATATTTTTAATGAAGTCTCCTAAGCTCAAAAGGCTGCATTTATTTGATCAAAATACAGTAAAAACAGTCATGTTGTGAAATATTATTCCAATTTTAACTTTTTTATTTAAATATATATTAAAATGCAATTTATTCCTGTTATTGCAAAGCTGAATTTCAACAGCTGTAACTAGTCTTAACATGATCTTTTAGAAATCATTTTGATATGCTGATTGGGTGCTGAAAAAACATTATTCATTTTATCAGTATTGAAAACTATTGTGCTGCTTAATATTTTTGTGGAAACCATGATACTTTTTTCTGTTTTCAGGATTCTTTTATTAATAGGAAGTCAAAAAACAGCATTTTGTGAAATAGAAGCTTTTGTAACATTATAAATGTATTTTGATCAATTTAATGCATGCTTGTTGAATAGAAGTATTAATTTCTTTAAAAAAAGGAAATCCTACTTACCCCAAACCTTTGAACAGTAGTTTGTGTATTTCATTTTACAGTTCTAATATCCCTTAACCATACTACTTAAGAAAATATAAATCCTTCTTAATGGCCTCATTATTTTTTCTTATGGTACCAGGAACCACAGTGTCGGCAGCAGAGAATGCCCTGGTGGCACGGAAATTGAGTATGGAATACCTGGAGAAGAGACTGAGCAGAATTACAGAGCTAGATGAGGAGGTGCAGGATGCGCTCCGAGTCTACGACACTAGTGTCCCCCGAGAGCCCCAGTGGGGTGAAGACTTCTTTGGCATTGACCCCTTCTACATCGCTGCAGGTGAGTAATCTATTAACATGTAAAAGTGCATATATTAAAGCTGGGTGTTGTTAGCAATTATTGTTATCAAATCATTCCTCAGGTAGGACTTTTGGGTTCTGTTTGCTACATATAGTCTGATCCACCCACAGGTCCTGAGAGTGAGGGCAGGAGTCTGTTGGACTACGTTTTGAGTGCGGGCACCACTGCAGTGAATGCTCAGAGGATATTACGGGCACTGAAGCTTCAGAGACCCATACTTCTCGAGGGCTCACCTGGAGTGGGCAAAACCAGCTTGGTTGCTGCCCTTGCCAAGGCCTCTGGGAACCATCTTGTCAGGATCAACCTGTCTGAACAAACTGTATGTCAGTTTTGCTTTAGCATTGCTTTGTAGAATACAATCTAAATGATATTTGATAACTCTATCAATGCAATGACGACCTTTTTTGACAGGTGGAAAAAAGGCATCAATGTTATATAAATCTCCAAGGGATAGTATATTATTTCAAAGAGTGTTTTTAATTCATTGTGCTGTTTTGTCCTCTCTGCACAGGATGTTACGGATCTCTTTGGCACAGACCTGCCAGTGGAAGGTGGGAAAGGAGGAGAGTTTGCATGGCGTGATGGTCCTCTCCTTGCTGGGCTGAAGGCTGGACATTGGATCGTCCTAGATGAGGTAAAGATGAATAGAAATGTGTTTCAGTCTTTCTTTTTATACAGAATTGATAACTCTAAAATATCTCTTTATATTAGTTGAGTAGCTTAATGATTGTTGTTTTTCTTCCTCTTATCTCTACAGCTGAATCTGGCCTCTCAGTCAGTGCTGGAAGGTTTGAACGCTTGCTTTGACCATCGTGCTGAGATCTACATCCCTGAGCTGGGCATGTGCTTCCACGTTCAGCAAGAGAAGACCAAGATTTTTGGCTGCCAAAACCCTTTCACACAGGGAGGAGGACGCAAAGGCCTTCCCAGGTCCTTCCTTAATAGATTCACTCAGGTAAGATTGAATGATTTTCTGTATGTTTTCTCAAAATACACATTTAATTGAGGATATGGATCTGCGTTCTGTATTTTCCTCATTCAGGTTTATGTGGATGCGCTGACCAATGAAGACATGCAGTTCATTGGTGACTCCATCTTTCCTAACATTGACAATGTGGTCATTTCAAAAATGGTGCAGTTTAGTAACCGGGTAAGTGGGCGATGCTTAACTTGTGTTTTCACTGGTGTTTTTCTGTTGCTCTTTTATTTGACATTTGAAGACCTCCCCATGTATCTTGATTTATATTTATATGTATTCTTGTTTCCTAAGCTTGTCCAAGAAGTGACAGTTGAAAGGAAATGGGGCCAGATAGGAGGACCATGGGAGTTTAATCTCCGTGACCTGTTCCGTTGGTGCCAGCTGATGCAGACAGACCAATCACCAGGCTTCTTCAACCCTGGCCAGCATGTTGGACTTGTGTATGCAGACCGCATGAGGACTGAGGCAGACAAGGCTCAGGTAGCAATGCTAATTTAAATACCATTTATCACTCATAACCTGGAGATATGAAGATACAGCCGTTGATCAGTAATACATGTTCTATCCTCAGGTGTTAGCAGTGTTTAGGAAGGTGTTTGGAGAAGACTTTGAACCTTATATGGGCTCCAGACAGTTCCATATCACCCCTTTGAACTTACAGGTTGGTCAGAATTATATTATATTATATTATAAATTATATTATATCATATTCTAATGGTTTTAATCCTTATTTTTTATTTTAATCCTTAATCTGTAACCTATAATAAAATTGATCTAGAATAAAAGTCTTTAAAAACATTGGTGTTTGATAATATTTCTTTCTCTGTTTCACACACATACAGTTGGGTTACTCAGTCCTGCAGCGTAGTGGAGGGGCACCTATTGCTCTGGATCCTCCTTTGTCGATTACCCATCATTCTTTGCGCCCTCTGGAAGCCCTGATGAAGTGTGTGGAGATGGGGTGGATGGTCATACTGGTGGGTCCTACTGTGAGTGGAAAGAGCAGTTTAGTGCATCTGCTTGCGCTGTTAACAGGACACAGACTGAGGGTCATGGCCATGAACAGCGCTATGGACACAACGGAGCTGTTGGGTGGTTTTGAGCAGGTCACTTGGAAATGACAGACAAGTTGAATATTTCACTAACTTGGTGTGGTTATTGTGATTGTGATAACTTGTGATTGTTTTTAGGTGGACATCATACGGCCGTGGCAGCAGGTCTTGGAGAGCATGGACTACGTGGTTGCCATGGTGACCAGACGAGGCCTGATGTCATTGGACGGGGCGGTGCAGGACACTGAGTTTATGTTGAGCACGTGGAGCACTTTCCGCCGCTGGCTGAGAGAGGAGGGTCTGGATACCACAGAGGGCATGGTCACGTTTGAGGCTTTAAACAAACTGGAGGTCATCATTGTTCTGCTGCACAAACTCAACACTAAACTCAAGGTCTTAACAGGTAAGACACTACACTACATCAGACAGTATATGTCTTCTGTATGCTTTTCAACTTAAACATTTGGTTTTCTGAGACATTTGGATTTGAATTTGAGTAAGAATGAGTTGGGAGAATGAGAATGGGTTGAAATTTTCTTTTTTTCTTTTTTGTATTAAATAATAAATATAAAATATTTAATTATTACTAGAAATTAGAAATGTAAAATTATTTTATGAAAATATCAAATAAATGTGAATTAATTAAAATAAGATAAAATAAAATAAATCCTTACTTTGAGCCTTGTAATCCATTTAAAAGAGTTTGAGTGTCATAAAATCTCTGATTGTCTACTGCAGACATGTCAAAGCTGCAGATGGACTTCACTCTACTGAAGGAGCGGTTGGCCCAGATGCAGGATGGCTGGACTCATGGTGGCTTTGAGTGGCTGGATGGGACATTAGTTCAGGCGCTGCAGGCTGGAGACTGGTTGCTCATGGACAATGTCAACTTCTGCAGGTCAGATATTTGTAAACATGTTTTTTTTTTATGCTTAAGATGCTTTTTGGTGTCTCTAAGTAGATTTGTTAGAGATGCACATTTTAATAAAGAATAATGACTTGTAGTCAAGTCTGTGTTTTAATGAATTGGTTGAGTAAATGATTCAGTGACACATTTATAACACAAAAAGTCACTGACTTCTAGCCTATGCACTGAAATAACACTCTTATCAACACTTCTTACTGAAAAATAAAACATGGGTGATTTGGGCATGAAATATTGGTTTTGTGTTTAAATTATTTAAGAATTTTGTTTAGAGTGATACAACTAGCACAGTGTAAATAAAGTATTCCAGGTAGACATGTAATAAAATAACTCTACTATGAACTATTTGTGTTACAGCCCTTCAGTGTTGGATCGACTGAATGCCCTTCTGGAGCCTGGTGGGTCATTAACCATTAATGAACGAGGGATCATTGATGGAACCACACCCACCATCACACCCCACCCTAACTTCAGGTACAAACAAATCCTGAACCAACATCACATCCTGCTGAACAGTTTCAAATCGAATGGGAATGTACAGTTCTGTGAAACTCACTGCCTTTGTTCAATCCTATTTCTCTTTGTGTTTTTCAGGTTGTTCCTCACCATGGATCCCACACATGGGGAAATCTCTCGAGCCATGAGAAACCGTGGTGTTGAGATCTACATCCCTGGCGAGCATGAGGGAGTGTGCTGGGACGCCCTGGATCTAAAGATGGTGTTACACACCCTGGGTGTGACAGGAGACTGCGTGTGTGACCTGCTGATCTCCATTCATTCAGAAATCAAGAACACAATATGGGGTGAGTCTGTGATTGGATCAAAAACTTGTTGTTGTTGCTGTTGTTTTATTTACATTTGGGGTTAAAGCAGTGTTATTTTATTATCATTTGGCGCTTTTCCACTGCGTGGTACGACTCGGCTCGGCACGGCTCAGTATGGTACGGTACGGCTCGACTCGGTTTGCGTTTCCACTGCAGTTCAGTACCGCTTTAGAGTGGGCGGGATTATTCACATGTCGTTATAGTTGCGCCACCTCTATTGCCGTGACTCCTGAAAAACTTTTTCATTCCGCGTCGCCCCATCAAGCTCTTGCTGGATCCGCTCCTCTGTTATCAACGAGAGGAACGTCTGTACTTCCTCAACAGACAACGAAACACTTCTCATCTCATCTCACTTCTCATCTCATCTCCACTTTTTGGTTGTTAAAAAAGGTGCACTTGTTCAAAACAATTGCGTTCGATCCTTCGCTGGCTGTGCTGATTTAAATCTAGTGGTTCTGTTGTGTTTGTGTCGCAAGTTCAGTGACGCAGGTAGTGACGATTCTCTCCGGCCAATCCGTGATCAGCAGAGTTTACACTTCACGTTTTGGTAACGGTACGGTTCACTTGGAACCTCAACCGAGGTGGTACTAAAAAAAGTACCAGGTACTGTACCCAGTGGAAAACCCCCCAAAAGTGAACCGTACCGAGCCGTACCGTGCCGTACCATGCAGTGGAAAAGTGCCAATTGAGATACTATTATAGTTTTTGTTTTAATGTTTTGAATTATTTTTTTTTTATATTTTAAAAATGTTTATAGTTTTTATTAGTTACTTTTTTGTGTCTGTATTTTTTTTATACATTTTTATTTCAGTTTTAGTTTGTTGTTTTAGCATATCAAGTTAAGCAAAATGAAAACGAGAAAAGGTTTTTAATAGTTTATTTCAGTTAACATCATTTATTTCAAATACGCAAACATTTTTATGGTTTTATTTTTAGTTTACTATAGATTTTTAGATATGTTTTAATGGATATGCTCTCTTTAATGTCCTCTAGACTCACCTGCATCATCCATGTCGTCTCTGCTCCATGCTGCGTCTCTGTTGTCTGGTCAGCTCCAGAGAGGTGTTGATTTGCCCAGTGCCCTTTTACAGGCCTGTGGAGAGGCTTATGCTTTCTGTCAACGCACCACTGCTAACCAGCAGGTACATGGATGTTTGTCCATAAACCACGACAAGATAAAATATATGATGCCATAAAATTATGACACATCAAACTTACATCTCACTTTCTGTCTCAGCTGGCTCAGGAAGTCATTGAGAGGCAGTTGGCAGTGCTGGACTCTGAGGACTGGGGCAGTGGGCTTCTGTGTGCGGGCGTGTGGCCGGACCGCATCCCCTCAGCCCTGCTGTGCACTGAGGACTCGTGTTTCTCCAGTGTCCAGAGAGACGGACAGGTCCTCCTGTACTGCCTCAAGCTGTGTGCAGGTGTGTGGCCGGACCGCATCCCCTCAGCCCTGCTGTGCACTGAGGACTCGTGTTTCTCCAGTGTCCAGAGAGACGGACAGGTCCTCCTGTACTGCCTCAACACTCTCAGTCTTTACGGAAAAAGGTCAGAACTGCACTATACAAACAAATCATTTTGTATTTCATTATCAGCCAAGTCATTGGTTGTAAATAAGATTCTAATATTGTTTGTGCTCATGAAAGTTATTCACATTTAAAGTTATTAATTTTTGTTGGTGCCGATATATATATATATATAACGCAACTGCGTTCACAGCGACCCGAGTTTGATTCCCGTCCCGAGGTCCTATGCTGATCCCGCTCCCCTCTCTCCTCAATACTTTCCTGTCATCTCTCCACTGTCCTGTCTAAAATGATAAAGGAATAAAAAGCCATAACAAATAAAAAAGTTATTAATTTTTAATTTCTATTTTACTTCAATTTCCATTTAATATATTTTCTTAATTTTTAAAGCATTTCATAATTAAAGTTTATCTATTATTATTATTTATTTATTTATTTTTTGTTTTAGTTCAGTTTTAGCTTTTAGGATATTTTTTCTAGCTTTAATTTTTTTCTGTTTGTCTGTTTGTTTGTTTTTGTTTGTTTATTTATTTATTTATTTTAGTTATAAATCTGTATTTTGTTTGTTTGTTTGATTATATATTTGATCAATATATAATACACAAGTGAAACTGCAGTTATAACTTAATTATAACAATAAATTAATTGTTTATTTTTATCTTTGTTGTAGTTTTTGAAATATTACAATTTCAGTTATTAGTAATTTAGTTAAATTAGTCTGTTTTGATTTATTATCATTTCAGTTCACAAAAAAACTTTTACATTTTGTAAAAAAAAAAAAAAAAAAAACAGTAGTTATAATAATGTAATAATATATTATTAATAATTATAGTAATAACATTTTACTGATTCAGAAATCGTCCACTGAGCCTGGTTGACCTGCAGAGGGCAATGCAGAGCGGGGCTGTGCTGGATGGGCTGCAGTTTTCTGGAGGTGGAGGACTGGACGGTGGAGCTGAGAATGCACTTCGCCTCCTCCCGACAGCAGTTAACATACTGACAGAAAGAGCTTCTCACAGTGACTGGGTCCTCAGAACCAGCTGGCTCTCCCACCTTACCAAAACGTACAAACATGCAGGTATGCTGTATAGAAAAAAACAACCTTTTTAATGTGTTTAATAAAGCTTGTGTTGTCCTGAGATCATACCTGTGCTTGCAGATGCAGCTCTGATGCAGCTGGAGGCAGGATGCACTGCGCTGAAGGCTGTTTTCAGCAGCAAGCTCATCGGGAAAGGCAAATGTCTGGCAGAGCTCTTGCAACCACACAGCACAGGTACATATACACACTCACACATATATACACTTAAAGACCACTTGAAATAATAATCAGCCTTCATCATATACAAAAATCATATACAGTTGCTGACTTGTGGAGTTCCTAAATTTAGTTTCTTCACCAGATGACTACAGGATTCTGGTAGACATGCGCTGGAACAAGCAGTACTTGGACATTTTGGCCAACACCTGCAACTTTGAGGATGAGGAGAGATACATGGAATTCATGGAAGCACTGAATGCTGTTGCCAACAGGTAAGTCCTTATCATTTTTACTACAAAAATATTCCAGTAAAATGGAAAATGACTAGAAATGAATGTCTTATGTTTTGAAAGAATCACATTGCTGATGGACCGAGAGGAGAGAGCAGCTATTAACAGCAGTACTGGAAACAGCTCGCCTCATAACAGCGCACTTAGGCTGGCCACTGCCTTCTCTAAAGGTACACACACTCACTCCCACAGCCTTGTTAAAAATACACTTTTGATATTAGAAGACAATTTTAAATATATTTATCAACATTCAATGAAAAAGCTTGGGTCGTATGTCACTATTCACATGATAAAATTGGGTTTTATAGGGACGGTTGACATAGGCCACCTGCCTCATCCAGTGTTGGTCCACCTGCGCTCATTCTTCGACCTGTGGGATTCATTCGTACTGCAAGCTGTGCAGTCGGGCCAGCCCTACATCTCTGACCACCTCATGTTTGAGGTCAGAACTTTATTCCACAGAACATATTCATTATAGCCATGCTGCTCTGTTCTGCAGTTGGTTTAAGGTGATGTGTTTGCGTGTCCAGATCCTGCAGCTGCTGCAGTGGAGTGATCGTTTCTGGCATGTGTGTAACTCTCTGTCCGTGGATACTCGGAGTGTGTGTGTGATGTCCCTGCACTGGCAGTGGGTGCACAAAAACCTCATTTTACGGCTGCCTCAGCTTTTGATGGGAGATAGTGACTATGAGTGAGTAATGGCTTTATTATGTGACAGAAATACATCATGTAATGTTCTCTGTAGTGTTTGTTTATATGTATGTTGTGAATGTTCATTTCAGAGGCCAACAGGAACTACACACGATCTCCACGGCCATCCAGAACACACTTTCCAGCCCTGTGGCTGTGGCTTCTGCTCTGAAGGGCATTCAGAAGACATTAGGAAAACCACTGCCATTTAAGGTTAGGCGATATATATCGGACACAAAGAAATTGTACCATTTTGAAATTCCATGGCACGGCAGTGTTTATCTGTGTTGCTCATTGGGTAACACAGGTTCAACTCCAGATAAAACTATCATTCAAAAGTTTGAGGGATTTCCTTTTTAATGTGAAATTCAGCTGTATTTTACTAATTGGGAAACAGTCTAGTTTATTTACTAAAAAGCCTGTTGTACACTACCATTCAAAAGTTTGTCATTGGTATGTTTTTTTTTTTTAATGTTTTTTGAGGAGTCTCTTATGCTTACCAAAGCTCTGTTTATTTGATCGAAAATCTAGTAAAATACAACATTTGTGAAATATAATTACAATTTAAAATATATTTTAAAATATCATTTATTCCTGTGATGGCAAAGCTGAATTTTCAGCAGCCATTAATCCCGTCTTCAGTGTCACATGATCCTTCAGAAGTCATTGTAATATGCTGATGTGGTATGCTAGAAACTTATTATCGGTGTTAAAAACTGTTGTGCAGCTTAATATTTTTGTAGAAACCATGATACATTTTCTCAGAAGATTTTTTTATAGGAAGTATAGGAAATATAAATCTTTTATATCATTATAAATGTATTTACTGTCACTTTTGATCAATTTAATTTGTTCTTGCTGAATAAAAGGTAAAAAAGGTATGTTTTATCAAAATTAAAATAAACTAAGAGATTCTAGCAAAAGTTTCAGATGTCCTTCTTTCTGTGCAGCTGGAGGCAGTGGCTGAATGTGCTGCCCGTCTGCGAGTGCTGTGCAGGGCTTTGGATGTTAGGGACCTGCGACTCGACAACAGCCTCAAATCGCTGTGGAAACAAGAGGTGTCTCGTCTCCGTGGTGTGGCCATGGGAATTGACTCCAAAGAAGCTCTACTGGAAGCTTGGGGTTTGGTGCTTCAGGCCAACCTCCTGCTGGAGCCTCAGAATTCAGGTAAACTAGCCACTTACATTTTGGACAGTAATTCGTAAGAATTGTGGACACGAAGTTGTGTAGTGCTAGACCACACAACCAGCCAAACCCTGACCGCTTAGTTTAATGGCACAGAATATTCTTATTGTTCTATCCAGGGGTTCTGGAGAGGCTTGTGAGCTGTGTGGATCAGCAGCAGGGTCATATGGCTTCCTGCGGCCTGCTGGACTCTCTTTCAGAAGATAATGAGGAAGAAGTTGGAGACGGTGCCGCACCGGGCCGGGAGGTGTTACTGCAGCTTGCACGCAGGGCTCAACTGTGGCCTGCACTGGAGGAGTTGGCAGTCCTTAACCAAATGAAAGTCACCACAGACCTGCTGTACCTGTCAGTCACACCAAGGTATGATTGCGTTTCTCTACCAAATTATTATAAAACAATTCATTGGGCTGGTTAATGACACTGTCAGTATTATTGTTGTTTATAGACTATTATAGTATTTTTACAATATTTTGAATTTGCTTTTATTTTTTAGCTTTTTTCATTTTTATTAGTTTTTTTGTATTTCTATTTAGCTTAAATATATTTCAGTTTTAGTCAGTGGTGTATAAAGTACCTGAAAGCCATACTCAAGTAAAAGTACAGATATCTTACCAGAAAAGGACTTTGGTA